CAAACACATTATTAACCTAGGAAAAATTCAATTAATATAAAAATTCTCTAAATGCATCTTCTAAAAACTATTCCTTAACTTACACACACTCAAACACACCTAATTCTCCATCCGTACGCACAACGCAACACACCCCAACAGGAAGCACTACATATGTCCTCGCAATAATCACTCCAACAGCAACACTCTGCTCAAAAATGCTAAATCTTCCTGCTTAACTTGCACTTCATATATTGACACAAATACGCTAATTAATCCTACAACTATCGTTTCAATTCACGAAATAAAAATTCACTTAAATAAATAAATAATCACATCCATCTATCTCATCCTCCCCCAAACATCATTTTCACATTCCAATTTTCTCCTAATCAGAAAACAAATTATTAAAATATTATAAAATTAAAACCTCTCCTACATACATTCTTGAATTATGCTGATACAAAATTATTTAAACGTACTAAAAATAAAAACTGACTCTATTCACAGAATCTTTTATTTTCGAAAAAATATAAGAAAATCATTTAATACTTCCACCACAAACCTCTAATAATGTATAAAATTGCTACAACTCATTAAAGCAAATATAAAAAATAACATTGTATAATTCTAACATAAAAAATGTACAAAATATTTTGTATCTAAACATCAATTAGCACTATCGTACATAATGCCACCAAAAAAAGTATACGCTTATTTCCTTATGACATAATATCACCACCGCGATTAACACAACCAACTAAACAATCTAAAACTCTAAGAACTCACAAAATTTAATCAAAATAATTCCACCCTACATCACAGGAATATTTTTCAATCAATCTCCAATGTATCATATCCCATACTTTACCTATCGCCAATCCCCATACTCCTGCCTCCATCATCAACTACAATGTCTCATACTCCCTTTTAGATTTTTTTCTCACCATCTCCTACCACTCCGATCAATTTCTCATCCCCAGCCACTCCTCCCCACACCTCCTCCGTCTCCCACAATTCAACTCCTTAATTAATATGGTCTCTAAATTCTTACTCATATAAAGTAATACGATAAATAAAACCCTGATGCTCAAATATGTGTCCTCTTTCTTAACGTCTAAATTCATTCTCAAAGTTCAAAATGAAACTTAATTTAACAAAAAGTCACATTCACATTTCATTCATATTTAGAAAAAAAACGAGTAAACCCACTATAAACCACCTCCCCCAACCAAAAAAAATACTACTCAAATGCTAATCACCAAACCAACAAAACACATTATAAACAAATAAACAAAATATACCAAAACGAATACGCATAATACAACCATATTACATTTCCTTGAAAAAAACTTTTTAAAAACATATACATTCATTACTTAAAGAACTCATCATTACTTTTCTAATGCTAAATATAATACCTAAATTTTAACACACCCACACAAAATAAAATTTATAAATTCACTATAACACGACAATGTTCTTATGCATACACCTCATTTCAAATGTATTACAC